GTGTAAAAAAAAAGACCACTTTGGTAATGGGAAGGAGGACTAGACAAAGGAGCAATTAAGTAATGTTGTTGTTTATTATTTTTTCTTTTCTTTTCTTTTTGTTGTTGCTTTTTTGTGGGTTTTGTTGGGGTTTTTTTAGGGGGGGGGGGTGGTTGTTTAGTAATAGCAACAAAGTGTGTATGTAGCATTTTAGATTTTGAAGTTAGCTGTTAGTCTTCGATAGAGTAAGCCCACAGTTTATTCGTAAGTTAAAGATCTAAGTGAAGCCATAGCCCCAGCTGGAGATGGTTGCAACACCTGATTTATAGTTAATTGTTTAGATCATGTTAGTCCTTCATTCCTCTGCTCTTTCGAGTCACAAGGTGGCTGTCCCGCTCCTTAGTGGAGTCATCTCTATAGTGTCGCCGAAGGTTTTGTAATTGGCCAGCTCTATTCGGACTCGAGTCCGAAAAAAAAGGTTTTATTTATTCGGACTCGGCTTCTGAGTGAGTTATGTGAGTGTAAGGAGGTTGCATCATATAAGTGTCGTCGGGGGATTTTATGTAAAACTAGAATTAGAACTAGAACTGCCTACTAGGACAGTGTAATTGTGTCAAAAGTTAAAGGACTGCACTCTCACGAGATCTACCCAATGGCAATATCTAAATACACTTACTTTACTTTACTTTTTTCTTCCGCTTGTACCCTGGGGTGTCGCGGGGAGACACAGGCGTCTGTCTGCAGCAAGTAGGGGGGGCATCCCGTGAGCTCTAAGGGTGTCTGCCACAGATTCACTCCATCGTCGCCTTGGTCTTCCTCTGGCTCTCCATCCAGAATATTTAGTGTTGTATGCTCTCAGAGCTGGATGGTTTGAGGGCATCCGCGTGAGGTGTCCGAACCACTTGACCTTTTGGTTTTCAATGTGTAGTAGGACTGGTGTTGCTCCCACAGTGTCCCTTATGACTTCATTTTTAATTTTGTCTCTTCTTGTTTTGTTGACCGCTCTTCTTAAGCATTTCGTCTCGCATGTGACCAGTTTCCTCTCTAGGGCTTTTGTTAGGGACCATGTCTGGCACTGATATGTGAGCGTTGGAAGGAAAATGGCGTTGATGAGCTTCGCCTTGGTGCTCATGGGGATATTGGGATGTTTCAGGAGAAACAGGTAACCGAAAACTCAGGGTCTTTCCACCATCACTATAGCATAATCATTACTTCCACTACCATTTGTCTTTCCACATGTTTAGTTCATTTTGTTGTGTGTTATAGTTTTTCTGTAATTTTTTAAAAAATTACATCGCACAAAATCGACAGCCGTGGCCTCTTCCCAACACCTCTTCTCCCAGCAAGCCAAGAGTGCGAGATCGCTACGCACAATCTCATTGGTCGACATAATTAACTTTGCCCCCGGCAAGGTCAGCTCAACTTGGTTGTTCTGTTCATCTTATTATAATACTTATGATGCAGGGAGGGCAAGTTTAGACAGATCTAATGACTGGATATTTTTAAGCTCACGTCTCGATGGTTATCATTATAATCGAAAAAATGTTCGTACCTGCTGGAAATATTTAGGAACAAGGGTAAGAAATCGGAACGGACTTCATGCTGGACTCAATTCAGAGTCGGAATATAATTTTTCTCTATTCGGACTGCGAGTCTGAATAGTCACTTCGTTTGGAATTTTGCACGAAGTCTCATACAATGGTGGTGACATTGTCAGTAATAGTACCTAAACTACTGGGCCGAGACGCATAGGTAGATGGAGATACTCATTTTGCTGGTATGGGGGTTTTGTTTTTGTGTTTGCATTTGATTTTAGTCGAACATACGCTGTTTAGTATACTTTTATCTCATGGATAGTTTTCAACCGGATCGCTTATCGAAAATAATTAATACCATGACTTGCGTGTTGACCTGTTGGACAACTCACCGTCCAGGGGCGAGTTTTTGTTGTTTTTATTTTATTTTTATTGGAAGTGAAAAGGGAGATAGCAAGAGTGACAAAGAAATAAATTTTAAGACGATGGTTGAAGAGAAAGACAAACGGGTTGTTGAGAGTCAGAAAAAGAAGTTAACAAGACCTTCAGAGAGAGAGAGAGAGAGAGAGAGAGAGAGAGAGAGAGGGGGGAGAGGGAGAGAGAGAGAGAGAGAGAGAGAGAGAGAGAGAGAGAGAGAGAGAGAGAGAGAGAGAGAGAGAGAGAGAACAAGTGAGTTTTAAAAATCTTTGTTGATGTGCGCGGCTTATGGACTTCTCAACGGGTTTCAGTATTTCTAACTCGTGAAGGCCGATATGCTCTCCTGTATGAGGGAATCACAGTTGCCAGTCGACCCGGGCTATCCATGGGTCTAAGATTAAAATATCTGCTAAAACCCCAATCTTAAGGGACTCAGCTGTGGAGGTGTGCGAACGAAAGTCTCAAGCTTCTTCGAGCTCATCAGCGATGTTTCCACACGCGCAATGCCTCTAAGATACCTCAGATATCTCTAAGATACCCCAGGATGACCTGCTTATCCTGTCAGTTAGTGGCCAGGGTCATGAGGCTCCATAGCCATCCCGGATTGACAAGCTGTCCGCTAGCTTCTAAAGTCTCCATTATTATTCTTGGAGTTCCTAGGCTATCGTCTCTTTTTACTATTTGGCACTAACTAACTGACTAACTGACTAACTAACTAACTAACTAACTAACTAACTAACTAATTAACTAACTAACTAACTAACTAACTGGCTGACTGACTGACTGACTGACTGACTGACTGACTGACTGACTGACTGACTGACTGACTGACTGACTGACTGACTAAATAAGTGACTAACTGACTAATTAATCAGCTAACTAGCCAACTAATTAACTAAGTAACTAACTATAACAAACGAACGAACGAACGAACGAACGAACGAACGAACTATCTAACTTGTTAACAAGCTAACTAACTGACTAACTGACTGGCTGACTAGCTGGCTGACTAGCTGACTGATTGACTAAGTGACTGACTGACTAAATAAGTGACTAACTGACTAATTAACTAACTAACGAACGAACGGACAAACGAACGAACGAACAAATGAACGTACGAACGAACGAACGAACAAACTAACTATCTAACTAACTAGCTAACTAACTATCTAACTCACAACTAACTTACTAACTACAAGTGACATACCAAACGTTTTTTACCTGACCATGAAGGAATAAAGGTAGAAAGCTGAAATGTGGGGTGAAAGCCAACAATCATCTTCCTGGAATGCATTGTATACATTTTGGGGAATATCCAATTACTGGTTTTAACAGTAGAACACTGTATGTGAATGGGGGCATGTTGTTCTCCAGTTTCAACACAGAAATGGAGAAAATTGAGTACATGCCGCTAATGAAGTTTTTGTTTTTGCAAGGCAAGCAACTGCAGTGTATTTTTACGGAGATGCAAGCCGTATATGTAACTGATTGCCCATCCAATGCTGTAATAAAATTTTGGAGTAACAATTTATTAGCGGATGCATGGACATTGAAGATGACCACTGTGATGGTCGCCCAGTGACAACAACAACAGAAAAGAATGCTTTGAAAATCAAGAAGCTTGTGTTGTCTGGTAAGCGGGTGACAGTCGAACGTTTGAGCAAAGAAACTAGGTTTAGCCTGGGATCAGTTGAACGAATCTTAAATGAACATTTGAATATGACGAAGGTCTCTGCGAGATGGGTCCCACGTTTGTTGAGTCCACCTCAAGAAGTGCAGGGTGTGGATTGTTGTGAAGAATAGCTAGGTCTTGTGAAATTGAATTTAAAAAGGATGAAACTAATTTTTTTTCAAGGATGAGACATAGGTCCACGTCTATGATTCTGAGTCAAAACCTGCATCAATGCAATGAAAATCGCCCTCGTCTCTAACGCCAAAGAAGGCAAAAGTGTAGCCGTCAAGAGGAAAAGTGATGCTATCAGGGTTTGTTTAACAAAGAAGGAGTGATTATGACAGACTATCTTGAAAATGGACATACGATCACCGGAGACCCTTATTCCAAGCAGCTAAAACAAAATACGAAAGTCTATTAATGAAAAACGCAGAAGAAAGATCCGAAAATGCATTTTGGTGCCTCGCGATAACGTGCCGGGAACACTTCAAGAAATGTTGTAGAAACTGAGAGAGAAAGTGACTATAAAATGTTGCCGCATCCACTCTATTCTTCAGATTGAGTTCCGTCCGACTATTTTTTTTATTCCCTTAATTGAAAAAGGATTTAAAAAGAAGGCATTTTGAAAGTGATGATTAGGTCAAAGAAGCGGTTGAAGGCTGATTTTTCGACAAAGAACGGGTCTTCTATTCTCAAGGTTTTTTCAGGGTCGTACACCGATGGCAAAAATGTATTATAGTGGTAGGCGACTACGTAAAAATAGATTAAGGTTAGTTCCAAATTTCAGTTTTTTTCTTTTATTCCTTCTTGGTCAGGTAAAAAGCTGTTGGTATGCCCCTCGTAATTAGGCATGATTATAATACAGACAAATCATCTTCATCATTGCCTTTCTCATCCTGCACCAGAGTGTAGGCCACGAACAAACACTTTCCACCTTTCTCTATCGTGGGCTAGCCTCTTTATGTGGTTCCGCAAATATATAAAATTATGTATATAATATACCCTGTTTGAGACGACCACCCATCCATCATTGAGAAGGAAAGAGGTCAACTTTAAATAGGTGGTCCTCTCGGGCAACGTCAGTATCATCATCATCCAGTGCCAGATCTGAGACAGATATCGGCGATCAAGGTTCTCCATTCATTCCTTTGCTCGGATGCCCTCAAAAAGCTACGTTTCCCTGATCTTTCCCTGTCATCCACTTGTTCAGGTTCCCCAAGTAGGTTGCTCTGGGCCTACCCCTGCCTCGCTTGCCCTCAATCTTGCCAATGAAAGCTAGATGTTCAAGACCTTTTTGTCTATTCAGGTGTCCTAAAAACTGCATTTGTCGTTTCCTGATGGTTTTTAACAGTGAGCGTTCCACGTGGGCTTCATCAAGCAGTACCTCATTTATGTCAGTATACTACTGAGAATAAATCGCTGGAAGGAATTGAGAAGTGGTTGTTTGTACTGGTGATTGTCTTGGACAGAGAGTTGTTAGAACATGTTCAATTATATTTCTTCCTGGGCTCAGACAAGGCAATAGGCGTCGGTAGTCTAGTCGTTAGACTACCGGACTCTTAATCGTGAGATTGCAGGTTCGGTGGTTCAAGCCACAGCTCGGTCCGACGTTGTGTCTTTCGGAAAGGGGCTTTACAAAAATGTCCCTCTTGGCTCGGTCATATCGGAGACGGACGTTAAACTCGGAGGTCCCGCCTCCTAAATAACCTAACAGTGGTGATAAGGGTGTTAAGCCTATACCATTTCACAATTTCACACAGCAATGCGCTACTTGAAATGATTCGAACTCCGTTTCTTCAGTGCTTTACTTTATAATATTTTAATTCTGTTCCCTCCGTGCTTTATTTGAAAAGATTTGAACTCTGTTTCCTCAGACTACTCTGGCTGGCGCTGTTCCTGACCTGTTCGGTCCTGATGAGCGTCCAGATAGTGGAGAGAATCGTCTTCTTCTACAGCTACCCCGTCACCGTGAACGTACACGTCAACTTTAACAAGACTCTGGCCTTTCCGGCTTTCACAGTCTGTAACCAGAATGCTTTCAGGTAAATTGACATTACTATTTAAGAAATGAAATGAATGGTTTGAACTGAGTCCCAATTGCAGACACCTGGCCAACGTTCACATCACTATGGGTTGTGAAAGACCGAGACGGGAATGTGCTGCTGTCATTAACGACAGTGACACACGACAGTTAATTGAGGAGTATTCCAAGCCAGAAGACCCAGTGATCTACATGGATGGATCGGTCAGGAGGGGTGAGAGAAGTGGATGGGGTTTGTAGTGTACAGTGGGAACAAAAAGGTTCATAGCATGTCAGGAGCCATAGAAAGAACAACTTCAAGAATGAAAATGGAGACTGAGGCCGTAACAAGAGCGCTTGGCTGGCTTCAAAATACAAGACCAAAAACTACCCATCTCATCATTGTCACGGACTCCCAGAGCATCATTCTTGAGAAGGGTTGAGAAAGGGCTTCTTCGGAGTGAATGGATGAACCCAATACAACACTCATCACTTAGAGCCATCACGTGGATATTCTGTCCAGGGCACTCTGGAGTGAAAGGCAATGAGGAGGCTGATAGGCTGGCAGGCAGTGCCGTGGTTGATAGTGAGGTGAAATTTGACAAAGGAGAAGTGTTGAAGACCCTGGAGAAAAAGTTGCTGGATGAAGAAGACAAGCAGACAGCAGAACACCACGCAATCAATAGGATGCGGGAAATGGGGAAAGAGAGGGGATAAGGAAGAAAGGAACGATTATCTGGAAATGAAAGACGTCCCCATAATCAGACAGCCACCGGAACAATCAGTATGGATACCTTGCGGGCTTTGGTGCTGGGGGAACTGAGCACTTATGGACCTGTCCGGTGTTCAATGACGTTGTTGCCCTGAACAGTTAATACAGGTACTATTTTTTTTAAAAGAGAAGAAAAACAAAACTCAACAAAAACATTTTTTAAACTTTCAGGCAATTATAACAACATTAATGTAAAGATTACTTTCAGGTAAATAGTATATTGGCATTGTTGTAAAGAAAGCTTTCAGGTAATTAAAGTGGCATTAATGTAAAGAATACTTTTACGTAAATAGTACAGTGCCATTATTTTTTTTAAAAATAGGCTTTCCGGTTTTTGTATGAACGTTATTGTAAAGAAAGCTTACAGTCAATTATGGTGACATTATTGTTTACACCTCTAAGACTTCGCTATAAACATAATTTATCAAGTGGTCTCTGGTTTATTGTTGCTCGATGATGCGTAAGAAGAAATAATATGATAGGGAGAAAGGAGGCTCAGGAATACGTGAACGAACATGCTGGAGAGAAGTACCGAGAATGGGAGAGAGAAAGAGACGGACAGACAGACAGATACACAGACAGAGGGAGAGAGAGAGAGAGAGAGAGAGAGAGAGAGAGAGAGAGAGAGAGAGAGAGAGAGAGAGAGAGAGAGAGAGAGAGAAGGAGTGGGAGAGAGATGAGGATAGAGACAAAAAAGAGAAAGGAAAACAGAGAGACGAGAAAGAGAGGGAGAGAGAAAGAGAGAGAGAGAGATAGAGATAGAGAGAAAGAGAGAGAGAGAGAGAGTGGGGGAGAGAGGGGGGTAAGAAAGAGAGACTAGAAAAGAGAAAGCTGGAGAGAGAGAGAGAGAGAGAGAGAGAGAGAGAGAGAGAGAGAGAGACTGAAAGAGAGAGAGAGAATGGAAAAGACAGACTGACAGAGAGAGAGAGAGAGAGAGAGAGAGAGAGAGAGAGACAGAGAGAGACAGAGAGAGACAGAGACAGAGACAGAGACAGACAGACAGACAGAGAGAGACAGATAGACAGAGAGAGAGAGAGTAAAATTCACTAAGGTTAATATTAATAATTATAGAGAATGGATAGCTCCTAAAACAATTAAATGCAATACAATGTATTTTTAAAGACTACTCAAAAAGGAGACTGAAACGCAGACATTAGAAGGGACAGGCTAAGCAGTAGTAGACGAATACGGAACACAGCCACTCTATACCCTGTTTATTCTTCACGATAATGATGATTGGCGAGTAGTTATAACTGCCACAGCTTAAGTAGTTCTTATTTATCGTGTGTTTGTGGTTCAATTTACAGGACAACGACACACACATTGTACCATTTTACTCTCTCAATAAACTCTTCATTTGCATGAACTCTAGACTACAAACTTTGCCAGTCAATGAAGGACAGCTTCCATTATACAGTCTATTTTGTGTATATTAATTATTATTTGCATCAAATATTTTCTGTCTCTTTCTCTATCTATCTATCTATCTATCTCTCTATCTATCTATCTATCTATCTATCTATCTATCTATCTATCTATCTATCTATCT